GCCATTGATAATTAATAATAAAAAAAATGGGTATTACACGTTTCAAATCCAGAACAGCCTGTTCTGGACTCTGACGGCATGTGTAAAATTCACATCCAGAACGGCCTGTTCTCAAACCAGAACGACCCGTTCAGGGGTTGCATTTAATGCATAACGGCCATATCTGGACGACTCGTTCTCAATTAGGGTTATAGGCATTTTTGGTGATTTGGAACGTCCCGTTCCAATTAGGGAACGACCTCTTCCCAAATTGGAATGGCCTGTTCCCATATAAAATTATAGACAATTTTTGTATTCTAGAACGGCCCGTTCTGGGCTACTAAATCATCTTTATTGAGCCTTTGGACCCTCAAACAATCTGTAAAAATCGGGCTATTACAAACAACATTTCCCCTTTTTTTATACCCAAAACTATTCTATCATCATTTTCCTCTTAACCTTTAATTTTCCTTTCATTTGAATGGTCAAAAACAATATTATCAATATTTGTCATTATTTTATTTTCTTATTGTCAGTTTATAATGTGATTTAGTTTATTAAATTTTATTTGAACACAAAAGTTAAACTTATATATGTAAAATTAAAATATTTTATTAGAATGTACATGATTTTAATAATTTTAATTATCCAAGTATAGATTGGCATATATAGTAAAATTATTAACTTTCATAATAATTATTTTAAATGTTTTACATGAAATATATAATTTCTAATTCATTCACAATATAACTTTTTAATGCTTATAATATAAAATTTTAACTCATAAAATAAACTATTTGGCACACGATTTATCAAGATAAATGAGATGAAAATATAATTTGAAAATCCTTAAAAGAAGAATTATATTTACTATTTAAATAATAATGTAACGACTCGGCTGGCCACTACACACACCATTATTAACTCATAAAATAAACTATTTGGCACACGATTTATCAAGATAAATGAGATGAAAATATAATTTGAAAATCCTTAAAAGAAGAATTATATTTACTATTTAAATAATAATGTAACGACTCGGCTGGCCACTACACACACCATTATACACCGGAAACACCAGGCAGAAAGAACGAGTATATAAATATAGGATCTAGAATATAAATATATACAAAGTCCCAATCCGACTAGAGTTAGAGTGTGCCAAAAACAACCAAACCAAAACAAAATATAACATCAACTGCTACACCAAGTAGCTGAAACAACACAACAGCAACTAAGGTCAGCTCCGTTGCCAGCTGCAGACTCACCACAAGCCACATACCTATCCCTGCTCTGCTCCCGTACATAGTACGATCATAGCAGTCCAACCACATGGAAACAACAAAGGGTAAGCTAGTATAAAAAGATCAACGTATAGCAAGATTTAAGAAATCAGAAACAACTTCAACTATCAACACAGCATCAGTCTACAACTCATCAGTTATACAACAAACCAGCAATTAGCAAATAATGCGTCGTCACGCATATCACCTCGGAGATCTCCTACAACAACTCAGCCCTTATGGCCTACAACAACTCAGCCCTTATGGCCTACAACAACTCAGCCCTTATGGCCTACAACAACTCAGCCCTTATGGCCTACAACAACTCAGCCCTTATGGCCTACAACAACTCAGCCCTTATGGCCTACAACAACTCAGCCCTTATGGCCTACAACAACTCAGCCCTTATGGCCTACAACAACTCATATCAACATACAACACAATACAACTTTTACAACTCAACATATCAACTTACAACACAACTCAACTTTACAACTCCACATATCAACTTACAACAATATACACCTGATACAACTCAGCATAAATCAACCAACATTATCTACTCGTCATCACATTATATTCATCCATTTCAAATCAACTCGGCATAAAACAACATAATTCAGTACATAGTAAATTCTCTTCTACGCGCCCGGCACTCTCATAGTTGCGCCCAGCGCAATACAACCAGAGAGCACCAGGGGGGCCAGCGAGCCCAGCGCAAGCATGCCCGCGCCCAGCAGGACACAGCCAGAGAGCCCCAAGGCTCTCTCGCGCTTGGCGCAATACCAATTCGCCCAGCGCAGGCCAAGCAAAGACTCTAAGGAGTCTCACGCGCCCGGCGTACCTAACCCAGTGCCCAGCGCGGGGAAGGCAGAGACTTCCCCTTGGTCTCGCACCCAGCGCAATTTAAATTGCGCCCAGCGCCCACAAGGCAGAGACTCCCAAGGAGTCTCACGCCCAGCGCGACAAGGGTCACGCTCAGCGCAGAGTCAAAAACCCAAAATCATACTACAACTGGTAGCGCGCCCAACGCGGTCCAAGTCACGCCCAGCGCGGGCCATCCAGAGACCCACATTCTCAAGCGCGCCCAGCGCACCCATCATTGCACCCGGCGAGCTTGGCCAAATGGGGTCTCCTGATGGCTACGCGCCCAGCGCGATGAACAACACTCAGCGCGAAGCTCAGCTACAACCTTACCAAGTTCAAAAATTTGCCCAAACACCTGCAAAAACCCACTTTCCAGCACATGCAATCCAACCAAAGCACCACATTTTCATCCCATGCATCCACAAATCAAATAAAAACCAAGAATTTTCTCAAAACCCCAAAATCCTCAAAACTCAATATTTCCCCCAAATCAGCCAAGAATCCGACAATCTTTAACAACCCAATGAGTTCTCAAACCCATTTCAACCAAAACGCAGCAAGAAAACTAACTTCCCTTACCTCTAATCGAAGATCCCAGCTTCCGGGAAGAAGAGAGGAGAAGAAGGAAGAAAAATGCTTGAATGGGGAAGAAGACAAGCTCGAGGAATTCAGCACCCGGGGAAGGAAATCAGCTACTCACCGCCCTCACCTACAGCCACCAAGATCACCCCAAAGCCAAGAGAGAAAGAAGATAAGCAAGAGTGAGTGAGAGTGTCGGGAAAGGAAAAGGAAAAGAAGAGGGGTCTCACAACCTCCCCAACAACAAGAGTTTTCGTCCCCGAAAACCGACTTACTTGGGAAAAGAAACGGATACCGCTCCCTGCACTGCTGCTCCACCTCCCAAGTAGTTTCACCAGTAGCTGCATCCCACAACACCTTCACTAGAGCAATGGACTTGCCCCTCAACTCCTTCAGCTTATGATCAACCACAGCTACTGGTAACTTCTCAAAGGTTAGATTCTCCTTCACCGGCACATCATCCAGCTCCACTACATGACTCGAGTCATGAACGTACTTCCTCAGTTGGGAGACATGAAACACATCGTGTAGGTTTGAAAGAGACGGTGGCAAAGCCAACCGATAAGCACCCGGACCCACACGCTGTATGATCTGATGGGGACCCACAAACCTCGGTGTCAACTTCCTTGCCTTCAGCGCTCTACCCACACCAGAAGTCGGAGTCACCTTCAGAAACAGATGTTCCCGTTTAGCAAACTCTAAAGGCTTTCGCCTCTTGTCAGCATACGACTTCTGCCTACTCTGAATAGTCTTCATCCTCTCTTGAATCATCTTCACCTTCTCAGTAGTCTGCAGGATTAGCTCCGGTCCCACAACCATTGATTCACCATCCTGATACCATCACACATTTCCTTATTTAAAAAAAGGTTCAAATATATTTTTAGTCTCTAAAATTTAAGATAAATGTGTTTTTTGTGCCTCAAATTTAAAACTGATATTTTTAGTGTGTGTAAATTTAACAAATATTGTTTTAGTCCCTTAGATTTTATGTAATATTGTTTGATAATTTTTATTACAAAATAAAAAAATTAGGACTAAATTTTTTTAAAAAAAAATTACAGGACTAAAAATAAAATTTTTAAATTCAACGGTTTATGGTTTAAAATTTATCATAAATTTGAGGGACTAACAACATATTTAAACCTAAAAAAAAGACAACAAATTACTATTAATTATTTACTAATAATGTGACATAAATAATACTTTCAACCTTATCATTTTAAATTTATTATCATCATCATAATATATTAATTAAAAAATATAAGTAATTAAATTATATTAAATTCCAATAATATACCAAATAAAAGACATTAAATGTAAACATCTACAATAAATTCCCTTATAAAAAAGCACCTAAAATTATGAAAATTTATCCGTAATAACGTAACATATATTTTAGTGAGAGGGGACATAAAAAAAACATATTTTTTTACATTTACTAAAATTAATGTTAATTATTATTAACATAAACAACATATATAAAATTCAAATTTTATTATTCATCACATAATGTATGTGTATGTTTTATTATTAAATCAAATTTTGTCAAACATTAATATGGAATTAATATTTTTATTTTTTACAAATTTATAATAAATTTCATAATTCAATATTATACTTATATGTAAAAAAAATGTAAAATATTATTTAAACAAAATTAATTTCATTCTAAATTTATTAATGTAATTTAATAATGAATATATTGATTTTATATTCAAAATTATACATATTCAATATGGTGTAGTTATGAATAGTAATTTATTAATTAATTAAATTTCTTGGAAAGGACATACAACGAATTACCTTGTGAATAACACAAGTGAAAGACTTAGCAATTGTAATGGTCATCAGTATTATAAGTTCATTTGATTATTTAATTTAAATTTATTCAATTTGAACTTGGTGTAGTTACAATTTTATTTTATTTTGTATTAATAATTAATTAATATTCTACAATTTAAAAACATTACTTCATTCTAAAAAAATTATAATTTTATATATTTTATTTTTTAAATTTTAATTTAATTATCACCATTTTAAAAATAAATATAAAAAAACAAAATTAAGTTAATTAATAATTTATTTAAAATGCTAAAATTTAATTTATAAAAATAATATTTTAAAAGAGAAGGATTATAATAACACTGGTGTAACTTTCACTATATATTACACCACTCAATAACTTTATATTAAATGTGAATTTTATATATTGAACTGTTAGATTGAAAGTTTTTTACTCTTAGATCATATATACAAAATTTTATATTAATTCAAGATGATTTGATATTTCATTCTTGTAAAACAAAAATTGATGAAATATATACATTTCAAAATATACTAAAATATGAACACTTTGATTACATTGAAGTTGTTGCTTAATGGTCAACTTATTCAACTGTCGGTAATCCACACAAATTCGACTACTTCCATCCTTCTTCTTAACCAACAATACAGGAGCACCCCACGGCGAAACGCTCGGCCGCACCAACTGCTTCTCCAATAGGTCCTCCAACTGACCCTTCAACTCAACCAACTTAGCAGGAGCCATCCTATAGGGAGCCACCGAAACTGGCCCCGCTCCTGGAACCAAGTCAATGCTAAACTCCATCTCCCTATTAGGAGGTAACTCAGGCACTTCATCCGGGAACACCTCAAAAAATCTCGCACCACATCAATCTCCGCAACGACTCTCTCAGTCTCCACACTCATAGCAGCAAGCAGAAGACAACACTCTGCTCCATCCCTCAACAATGATTCAGCTTGGCTAGCTGAAATCAACAATTCATCCTCCTCCTGAGGAAAGATCAACCGCCTATTGGCACAATCTATAAGGATACGATTGGCAGATAACCAATCCATTCTTAAGATTATGTCAATATCAACTAAAGGCAAACAAATCAAGTTTACCTTATACCTCTTCCCATTCACAACAATAGGGCAACCAGCACACAACTTAGAAGCAACTATAGAAGCAGAAGCGGGCGTCGACACTAGCAGTCTCAACCCCAAATCACACACAGGTACACCCAGCATAGCGACACAAGCATAAGAGATAAAGGAGTGAGAAGCTCCAGAATCACACAAAAACACCACATCCTTACCAGTAGCTCTGCCCTTCCCCTTCACAAGATCAGAAGAAGTCGAAGCCTCAGCACCTGTCAAAGCAAAGACCCTACCGGTAGTGGTGGGTCTATCACCCCTCTGGGCATCTCCTCTCTGAGCATCACTCCTCCATGCACTCCTCTCCAGTCTGTTTCTGGTGGGACAGTTGAAAGACACATGGCCTATCTACTGGCACCTAAAACACCAGTTCTCTGTGTGGGGACAATCCCTGATCATATGGGGCCCTCCACACCTGTAACATCTCAGGGCAGCACCTCCACCCTGTCCTCCTCCACTAGCAGCACCAGAAGGTTGCCTGATGACAGGACCCCCTTGTTGTGGTTGGGGCCTATCATACAGCTTCCTCTGTCTCCCTCCTTTCTTGGACCTAGATGGCCCTTCAGCAGTCTTCACCCTACGGTTACCACCTTCCAACCGCTCAACCACCTTTGCCTTCTCCACTAAGGCTGGAAACTCCGTGATGGCCATTGGCACCACCACCCTCTTCAGATCATACTTTAGACCCTCAGCAAACTTCCGACACTTCCAGGCCTCGGCTATACCTTGCGAATAAAAACGAGCTAGGTGCTCGAATTTCATCGCATATTCAGAAATAGTCATCCCTCCTTGGTGTAAGCGCATGAACTCAGCTTCCTTGGCATGTCTCACACACTCAGGGAAATACTTCTCCAAGAACATCCTTCTGAAGCACTCCCAGTCAACAACCACTCCCTAGCGGTCAGCATGTGATGGGTACCCCTCCACCAATGCTCCGCTTCCCCAACCAGCATGTACACCGCGTATGCGAGCCTCCTCTCTTGAGAACATCCCAGCACGGTGAAGATCTTCTCAAGCTCACAAATCCAGTGGTCAGCCACCTCTGGATCTGCATCTCCCTTGAATTGAGGAGGATGGCATTTCCAGAACACAGCCAGGTCCCGGCTCTCCTGTGACCCAGTGGGCCTTGCTGCACCAGCTGCAGCTCTCTCTGCATCCATCCGAGCAAAATAGGCATTTTGTTGTTGCATAACCATGGCCATCATCTCCATGGCCCGGGCTATCTGTTCGTTGGCTCTAGACATTGTCTACAAAAGCAACAACATCTTTAGTACACAATACCTAAACCATACAACAATCAACAACACAACGCAACACCACAACAATCAGCACAACAAACAACACAGCAAGACAACACAACATAGAGTTCAACACAAAAAAAGCCTAAAGGAACCACCCCACAGAGTGTCCACTAGACTCGAACTGCTCTGATACCACTTAAGTGTAACGACCCGGGTGGCCACTACACACACCACTGTACACCAGAAACACCAGGCAGAAAGAACGAGTATATAAATATAGGATCTAGAATATAAATATATACAAAGTCCCAATCCGACTAGAGTTAGAGTGTTCCAAAAACAACCAAACCAAAACAAAATACAACATCAACCGCTACACCAAGTAGCTGAAACAACACAACAACAACTAAGGTCAGCTCCGCCTGCCAGCTGCAGACTCACCACAAGCCACACACCTATCCCTGCTCTGCTCCCGTACATAGTACGATCATAGCAGTCCAACCACATGGAAACAACAAAGGGTAAGCTAGTATAAAAAAATCAACGTATAGCAAGATTTAAGAAATCAGAAACAACTTCAACTATCAACACAACATCAGTCTACAACTCATCGGTTATACAACAAACTAGCCATTAGCAAATAATGCGTCGTCACGCATATCACCTCGGAGATCTCCTACAACAACTCAGCCGTTATGGCCTACAAGAACTCAGCCCTTATGGCCTACAACAACTCAGCCCTTATGGCCTACAACAACTCATATCAACATATAACACAATACAACTTTTACAACTCAACATATCAACTTACAACACAACTCAACTTTACAACTCCACATATCAACTTACAACAATATACACCTGATACAACTCAACATAAATCAACCAACATTATCTACTCGTCATCACATTATATTCATCCATTTCAAATCAAATCGACATAAAAAAACATAATTCATTTCATAGTAAATTCTCTTCTCCGCGCCCGGTGCTCTCGTAGTTGCGCCCAGCGCATTACAACCAGAGAGCACCAGGGGGGCTAGCGCGCCCAGCGCAAGCATGCCCGTGCCCGGCGGGACTCAGCCAGAGAGCCCCAAGGCTCTCTCGCGCCTGGCGCAATACCAATCGCGCCCAGCGCAGGCCAGGCAAAGACTCCAAGGAGTCTCACGCGCCCGACGTACCTAACCTAGCGCCCAGCGCGGGGAAGGCAGAGACCTCCCCTTGGTCTCGCGCCCAATGCAATTTAAATTGCGCCCAGTGCCCACAAGGCAGAGACTCCCAAGGAGTCTCATGCCCAGCGCGACAAGGGTCGGGCTTAGTGCAGAGTCAAAAACCCAAATTCATACTACAACTGGTATCGCGCCCAGCGCGGTCCAAGTCACGCCTAGCGCGGGCCATCCAAAGACCCACATTCTCAAGCGCGCCCAGCACACCCATCATTGCGCCCGGCGAGCTTGCCCAAATGGGGTCTCCCGATGGATACGCGCCCAACGCGATGAATAGCGCTCAGCGCGAAGCTCAGCTGCAACCTTACCAAGTTCGAAAATTTGCCCAAACACCAGCAAAAACCCACTTTCCAACACATGCAATCCAAGCAAAGCACCACATTTTCATCTAAGAGTCTCAAAACAACTACTTTTTACACATGCATCAACAATCAAATGAAAACCAAGAATTTTCTCAAAACCCCAAAGTCCCCAAAACTCAACGTGTCACCCAAACAGCCAAGAATCCGTAACCAAAATCAACCACATGAGTTCTTAGACTCATTTCAGTCAAACCCCAACCAGAAAACTAACTTCCCTTACCTCTAATCGAAGATCCTAGCTTCCGGGAAGAAGAGAGGAGAAGAAGGAAGAAAAATGCTTGAATGGGGAAGAAGACAAGCTCGAGGAATTCAGCACCCGGGGAAGGAAATCAGCTACTCACCGCCCTCACCTACAGCCACCAAGATCACCCCAAAGCCAAGAGAAAAAGAAGATAAGCAAGAGTGAGTGAGAGTGTCGGGAAAGGAAAAGAAAAAGAAGAAGGGTCTCACAAATAATATTTTAAAGAATAAAAAAATGTTATATTTAACATAAAAAGAAAAGAATAAATCTTATAAATTACATTTATATTTAAAATGATTATTTTAAAATAAATAATTTAATACACATAATAACTTATAATTAAATAATTATCTAAAATATCCTTCCATTATTTTTCATCAGAGAAAAAAGAGACACTTCGTGCTTATCTAATTTTTTTATAAAATAAAGTAAAATCATAAGGTTAGTAGCTATTTATTCTCTAAAAAAATGAGTAATTATTTATAAATAGTAAATAGTTTAAGACTAAAAAGGTCTTCAGAGAAAGTTGTTTAGAATTTTTAATAAATTAAGAAAAAGATAAAATGATCGATATAAAATGGAAACTTAGATAATTATTAAACGGAGTATCATTTTATAAAATGGTATAGATATATTATTTACTACTAATGAGATCGAAACACTTTATATCTCTATATTTAGTTAAAATTGTTTAAGAATTATCAATATTTATTAAATCAACTGATGTTGCATCTAGTCTTTAGACTTTTATAAGAATAGTTAATTTTTATATTATTTTTATTATTTAAGAATTTAAGAGTAAAACAATAAAAAAAAAATTATGTGTTCAAAAATAGACAATTATTTTTATATATAGATATAAATTAAAAAAAATTAATTATAAAATTTGGTGGTTGATGATAAAAAAAAATGGCAAACAGATTGCAGCAGGAGCATAATGACGCGGCCACCGGGAAGAGACAGTGATTCTGGTAAAGCAGCAGGGCTAAATTACAGAAGCATGATAAAATCATCACTTACTAAAAGTGGAGCAGCATTTAACACTAGTTATAATTTCACAGGTATAGATTCTCTTCCTTCTAATTTAGATTGTCTTTTGAGTTTTTAGATACAAGTCTTAAGTTTTTTTTTTTTTTGAATTTTTTTAATAAAAAAATCTCATATATACATACTCTTAAATTAACTTTTGATTTTCTTTGACATTGTCTAAGAAATTCTTACATATAGACCAACATATCTATAAAATTTAAATTGTGTAGCCGATATTCATATATAAATTAGTAATACCCGTCCTCATTTCCGTGAATCAAACTCATCCCCGTCCCCGTACCCGTACCTGTCGGGTATATGATTTTCATCATCATTCCCCTCTCCGTCAGGTATTAGGTATACCACTACCCATATCCGTACCCGTCAATTTTTTTATTTTTTATTTTTTATAAAAAAATGATATTTTTAAATTATTTTTTATTATATTATAATTATAATTAAGTTATTTCTCTATCTCATATTATAATAAATAATCATACATAAAAAAATATTTAAATTTTTTAATATAATTAAATTGAAAGTAAGTGTTAAATTAAAAATGAGAACGGGGACGGGTACGAGTACGGGTACGGGACGCGTAAGTACATACTCATATCTGTACTCGTACTCGATTTAATATATCGAGTTTTACCCGTACCGTACCCGGTCAAATTGGATATTCTCTGTCAAAGTCGGGACGGGTTCGAGTATTACCTGCGAGTACGAATATATTTTTCATTCCTATCCCCTATCTACATATAAATAAAATAGCATAATTTTACATGGATTAAGATAGTTAGTGTCAATAATAATAATAAAAAAAAAAAGTTAATTAGTTAAGTGTATTTAACTTTTACAGTTTTATATGTGTTGAGTTGTAATCTAAATATGTGATATATGCATCTATTGTTTGTATGTATAATTCACATATAAAGTCTGAAAGATTTAGTTTGTACATATAATATGATAGTATTATCTTTATGTATCATTTGTATATATTAGTATGTAAGTGTTATATGTCTATATCATTTATTAATGTATTTTATAAATACATATTTGTATTATTGCTTATTAATAAGAGAAGACTAATCATGTCACTCATTTGTAATATACAAGTGTTTACATTACATTTTTTAAATAATATCTATTATCTCATTTATTGTAGATAGTACACCCATTTATAATTTTTGAATTAAAATAATTAAATAAGGTTGACTTTGTTTAAATTTGTTTATATATTTCGGTTAAAAAGTTTTATGACAATCAAAGCAAAGACAATTTTTTGATTTTCAAAATATGCAACTTAGACCTGAAAGGCTCCGATGTATATCTACTCTCTGGAATTAATCCCACCCTATATATAAAACATGAAATCTTGTACAAGAACGTTTTAAAGAGATTTTCATCAATAAAAGAGTTTTTAGACATTCTTTTGACTTAATATTTAACTTGATTTTTATTTAACATAATTATTTATGAATTAAATTTTTAAATTTTAAAAATATTAATAAACAAAAATAACCTTATGTATCATATACTTAAAATATAATTTATATATTTAAAAGTATTTATTTATTCAAATCAATTCTTATATATTAAATACGAATCATTATTTAACGCGACAACATTTTTAAGAAATTTTTTTAATGAGAAGATTCTTAGAATTTTTAATTTCTTATATAATTCAATTTTTATTTATCATTATTATTTATGAATTTTATTTTAATATTTTTAAAATAAATTATGAATAAATTAAAATAAT